GCTAAAAACAAACGATTGTCTGAGCACAGTTGCAATAGACGATCACCATTATCTGTTCGTTGTGTCGGAATACTAAAATACCCACTTGAATGTCTTTCTGTTCGGTTTAAGCTACCTTCCTAGGCATTAAAGTCACCTGCTACGAGTACTATGTGTGAGCGTTTAGTTGTATGAAGAAGTTCAAGAAGCTTTATGTAAAAGTCATCTTTCATTTGATCTGGGCTGCAGTTAGTGGGAGTGAATTCTTACAGAGCCGTTTAGACGAACAGCACATAGACGACTGTTAACGGGGATCCACTCTAATAGTGCTTGTTCTGCCCTCGTACTTAGTGCTACGCCTAACCTGCCAGTCCAAAAGAACTACCTATCGGGTCTCCAGATACGCGGCGGGTTTATCTCGTAGGCTCTCCGTTTTGGCGAAGTGAGGTCAAGTGAATAACCACACTAGGATCTTGTATACGTGTTTCGGAGACACATCATACACCAATGGTACAAGATTCTAGGGTTCTGGCCAAGGAGGCCTGTGGCCGACTTGATACACAGTGCATACGTTGAAGGCTTCAATGTGTAGTTTGGAGCGAGGTTTTAGTAGACCTGGGACAGGGTTTTACGCACTAGAATCGTTGGCCATGGTGACACTTGAGGAGGAAGTAAGAGAGGAAGATTAGAGTTGAAAGTCGAGGTAGGAGGAATAATAGTAATTGAAGAGAGTGATTGATCATGAATACAGTGATCTTGAGTGCTGTTAGAGGTATGAGGATAGTTATCACTTCCCGGTTTCCCACACCGTGGAAGGGTTCTTCTGGAGGTGCCTGAAAAGGAAATTGGGTTAGAGGTGGTCTTAGTGAACTAAGAGCGTGACCACAGTGCCCAAGGGACAACTGCTTAAGGGCGGTCACACACGACCTTTTTGTGGGCAATTTTCGTGTTAGCTCCGTACTTATTGAGACCTTACCGCCGGAGAAGGAAATCCGTGGGATAAGGCGAGGTGTGCATTTTTAGGGTCGACCTTTTCTAACCTCATCCCTCTTTGTGGGAAGGCAGCATCACTGTTATGCGGGTTTTCTGAGAGGAACACCTTACTGCCGTCACACCTCCGTACAGTCAACAGTACGACTTCGTCCTCAGACCTTGGGTTTGTTGATTTTAGTCTTACCGCTCGTTAACCGACCTGTCTGGCATGGTAGGACCTTAAGGAACGGTTGTTTCGTGACAATAGACAAGCTCGACCACCACGTCAGTGTAGCAACAACGGTCGGGGGAGGAAAGATTGACTCCAGAGAGGTCTGTCCGAAATAAAAACTCATGAAACAAAGTTTCTGCTGTCCCCCATCCTCCAAATGGTAACCAGGAGGAGGCGCCCGAAAAAACCTAGTCACATGACTAGATCTGTTTCTAGCAAAAAATAACCTGACCGCCCAAGTCGTCGATATTCTCCTTGAATCCTACTGTATGTTTGACGCGACTGTGGTTGCCACTCCAGCGAAGTTCACGAATGAGTACGCGTCGAGAACGAGAAACCAAACAAAGCTACAGAAGCGAACTCCCTGAAAATTACCCGAGAAATTAAGGACTGGTCATAGTGACAGGTCACTTATCCTTCATAGAATGAAGGAGAGTGGAAGTTCAAAACATAAAACTCGTTTTGTGCATGAAATTTGGTTGATAAAACAGCCTCAGGATATCTGCGGAGTTACTTGTCAAAGGTGTATGGACTAAATAGCCGAATGAACTTGAAACAGAATCAAACGAAGCTGCTTAAAGTAGTATTTAAGCCCCTCAATGAACGAAACTTAATACTACACAATAGATAGAAGCTAAAGTGGTCAGAGGTTTTTGTCCGTAAGGACTTGTCGCTCGCAGACCTTGTAAAAAAATGAAAACTTAAAAAATGAACCCAAACTTACGTTAGATGCTGGTAGAAAGAACCTCGGAATTGTAAATTTTCGGGTTGTCACGACTCGACAGAGAATGATACCGAAGCGTCCATAGGTGCAGCACGAAGCCATTTAAATAGGCTTTTGACTCGTTACACAAATACTCGAAGCTTGCTTAAAAAGCGATCTAATATAAGTGTACAGATTCGCTCTATAGGGTTTGAAGATGTTATTCAAGGAGTATAAACAAATTTGAAAAGAAAATAAGGGACATAAAGAATTCAGAAGATTAGAATTTGTGAGAACACAAAGAATGGATGCATCTGCGCCATTGCAAACAATTTTGAGCCACGTCATTCAAGGTCTCTAACCATCGGTTGCTTTCATCTCGCAGTCTCCAACCACGTAGTCTACACCTACCAACATGGCTCAGTCTAATTGTCAGTGACTTCATGGACTTGTGTCATGTTTTGGTCTGGCAGCCCCTAGCTTTCTTCCAACCTACTTCCATACCATTGAAAATCGCACGTCGAGGCAGTTGGTGGTTGAGCATACGTAACACATATCCCAGCCATCTCAACTGATGGAGTTTCACTACTTCATCAATTGATTTGCCATCCATACCTAGTACCCGTTTCCTAACAACTGTGGTACTTACTCGATTGTCCCAGGATATACGAGCAATGTTTCGAAGACACCTATGATCAAATACTAGTAACCTACGAATATCCTCTAATCTTACTGGCCATGTTTCACTGCCATAAAGTAGGACGGAACGAAATGCTGCACAATAAACACGTCCTTTGGTTGATAGACGGATATCTCGCCTACGCCATAAATGACGCAAGTTGGTAAAAGCTAGTCGAGCTTTCTGTATCCGTGCTGAGATTTCGTCACACACCAGACCACAAGGGCTGATGAGACGTCCAAGATAAGTGGAGCGGTCGACACCTTCAACTACTTCACTCCCTATCATTAGTTCGGGTTTCGATGTAACCCTATCCTGAAGCAACATTTTGCATTTCGAGGGGGAGAATCGCATGCCGAACATGCTTGCATTGTTGCTTAGAGTGGTCAGAAGACTCTGCATTTTGTCAGCGTCTTCACCAAATAGAACTATGTCATCGGTATATTCTAAGTCAACAAGTGAATCTCCTGGTAGAAGTTCAACCCCTGGAAATTTAGATGAGGAAAGTGTTATCTCTAAAAGTACGTCAACGACAAAGTTAAACAAGAATGGAGATAGTGGGCAGCCCTGACAAACACCAATTGAGGTAGTCAATTCTGATGACAGTTCGCCATAAGCTCTCACTCTACCAGTTGTGTTGGAGTACTTCTTTGGTACTCCTTTCAGTGGCAAACACGTCCAGGTCGAAAACCAGCCTGATTTTCTCTAGTCTGCTCTTCACGAGCTTTAGTTAGGCGTCGAAGTATTATTGAAGCTAACATTTTAGACACTATTAGTCAAACTGATTCCTCTGTGATTGTCACAAGAGAACTTTTGTCCTTTCTTAAAGACTGGCACAATCAGTGATTGAGACCAGTCGGATGGGATTGCGTCCAGTCCCCAAATTCTACCTAAGACCTCAGTTAATCTCACTGCTAATGCTGGACCACTATCCTTAAAAATCTCAGGAGTGAACCTGTCAGGGCCTGCTGCTCTCCCTCGCTTCAGATTTCCGATAGCATTTTCAACTTCATAAAGAGTCGGAGGACCTTCATTAACTTGCCATTCAGGTCGACTGGAGATCGTGGGAAACCGAAGTGTGGCTGAAGGCCAGTTGGACTGACCCCTAAAGTGTTCTCCCCATCGATCCAATCTCCTGGATTGAGAATGTATAATATGTCCATCTTCCTCTGAGATTGTTCCTAATACCGGTTTCCTTAACAAGTCTGAACAATTGCCTGCTATTTCCTATTGCCGCCGCCTTCTCCATCTCTCTGGCTTTCGCTACCCACCACTGTTCGCGATCATTGCGTAGGCTTCTTGTCAGCTTGCGCTTAAGCTGACTCCGCTCTTCATTATGCTCAGATCCAGATGGAATTAGTTTTTGAGCATCTATCAGTGCGGTTGATGCTGCTGAGATCCAGCGTTGTTCCCTAACCTTACGGTTTACCGTACTAGCAGATATCACTGATGTTTCCACAGGTTTTCCGATATGATTCCATGCTGCTTCGGGGTGGGCTTCACCTACACGGCTGCCTGACTGTTTTCCTAGTTGTTCCTGAAATATACTCTCAGCTTGACTATCATTAAGTAGGCCCCTAAGAGGTTTCCTTGCAGCGTCTTTCTTACGTCCAGTAAGACGCAAGCAAATACGCGCTCGCACTAGAGCTTGATCTGAATCTATGCATGTCCTCCAGAATGAGCGACAGTCTTCTATCGAGCCCCTCCATCGGTGGCTGATAGCGGTGTGATCTATTTGGGTACAACGTTGGAACGAATTATGGGGTCGCCATGTTAAAAGATGTTTTTCCTTATGCTTAAATTTAGTATTTGCAAGAAACAGGCGGTTATCTGAGCATAGCTGCAACAGACAGTCGCCATTATCTGTTCTTTGAGCTATGACACCATAAAATCCACCTAGGTGTCTTTTGCTTAGTTTACCTACTTGAGTATTAAAGTCACCGGCCATTATTACTACATCAGAGCGCCTAGCTTTTCGTAGAAGGTCGGAAAGCTTTCTGCAAAACTCATCTTTTACATCATCTGAGCTGCAGTCAGTGGGAGAATAGACAGAGACGACGAAGAGGCAACGACGAGTGTCCCTATCTTTCCGAGTCCTTATTGTTCCGTTTAGTCGGACAGCGCCCAAACTACTGTCTACTGGGATCCACTCTAAGAGAGCTAGTTCTGCCCTAGGACTCAATGGTATACCTACGCCGGCGAGTTGACGAGAAGCAGAATCTGGGCTTCCAGATACATGAAGTGTGAATCGAGTTGGTTCTTTATTTTGACATAGTGATGTCAAATGAATGACGCTACTCGGATCCTGTATGTGCGTTTCGGAGACGCAGCACACATCGATGGCGCGAGATTCTAAAGTCCCAGCTAAGGAAGCTCCAACATGAAGTTTAGAGCGTGGTTTCAGGAGACCAGGAATAACGTTCCGCGTATTTGAATCGTTTGCCCTAGCGGTGAGAGGTGATAAAGAGACGTGAGGAGAGTTAGTCGGGGAGATAAGAGAGGTATTAGGAGGTGTAGGAAGGATTTGAACGTGACCAACTTGGTCTCGTGTGCTGTTACGGGTATGAGGGCTAATGTCACTTTCCGGCTGCCCACACCGTGGAAGGGTATTTCCCGAGGAACCTGAAAAAGAAGGCAGATTAATGTCGGCCTTAACGGCCGGTTGACTATAGACTTTCCCATCGAATCATCAACGAGTGGGATTCATTACCTCAACTCTTTCAAAAGCAATCAACTGAGAGAACATTATTGCCAGAACTAACACAGGCCACCTAGCCTACTGTCCTTTACACACTGAAACTGAACGTGTGAAAGCTTTCCATAACAATAGGTATTAAAAAACCTTTGTTACGATAGTAGCATTATAGACCTGATGCTTTGCTGTTGTAGAGTCCATTCTCAGCAGCAGAGCAATACAAGTATATTGTATGTACATCGTGGTTGCTTCTTCGGTTGGCGATCTCCATCCATCATATCACTTGTTTTCGTCATACTAAACAGTTGCTTATACTTGAAAAAGCTTTGAAGTTAACGTTTCTAATTTTTCCTTGGTCAGACTTTTAATTCATATCGAAATAGCTTCACTAAAGTCTTATCTGATATTTTCCAGGTCGTGCGCCTAGTCATACGATGACTGGTCAACGTCGCTCCATCAAAAAAACTTCCACTAGAAAGTCAGATCTTTTTCCGGAGGAGAGGTAAAAAGTTTTACTACGCTCCACATTTCTAGAACGTTCGTCAATCCGTCAGCTTTGAGTCCTCATCTATTCTGTCCAATATGTCAAGAGGCTTTCTGTAACCCCCAACGTGCTCCTTGTGGTCATAGTTTTTGCAAGAATGTAAGTTTGTAAATAAATGCTTTTTATGTTAATACTTATCGTACTTCCGAGATTCATAAAACTGCAGGTTCCTTTTGTTTCGTAAAGTTCTATCTTCGTAATGCTATTGTATTTCATTTATTCTTTTTCTGCCAAGTTCTTTGAAAAGAAATATGCAGGTAGTGATAAAGTACGATATTCACTGGTTTCATAATAATATAGTAGTCAATCTGATGCACCTCTGTTATGACAGCTTGTGATGCAATAAAAAAGTACGGTAACATATTACTGATTTCGGCCTCCAACCGGAAACCGCTTCAATTAGAAAACAATCCTAACTCTAACATGACTCGGTTGTCCAATTACGTACGGGTGATAATTTAGACGCGCATAATTACTTGTCTAATTTCGTGTTTTTTACTATCTGTGGCCAGTAACTTAAGTAAGACGAACTCAATTAACGTGAATGAAGAATACTCTTTTCAATAATTTCTCATCTGGTTTTACAGTTATATATCCAAATTAATAATCCATAAAATTGGCCAGATTTAAGGCAGAGTACATCATTTAAAATTGTAACATGCGAATCAATTGTTGTTTGTCATACAAAATCAAATCGTTAATGTCGGGATGACTAATGTGAAGTGTTAACTTGAATCACTTTCTAAGCGAAATGAAATTGTGCGATAAATGGTCATAATAAATATGGTCAACATGGGGTAAGAGAGAGAGAGATAGGATATTGTAATTACAAATCAGAAATTACGAAATATGTAAAATAATATGAATTAGGTCAGATATAGTGGATAGGGATGGATACTGAATAAATTCCTCAAAAAGGTTATCAAGTGTAATGATAATAATAAAAACAATGATAGGGATGATAATAACAATCGTAAAGATAATAATAATATTAGTAATAATAATGTTGGTCTAACATCAATCGGTCCATGATCTCAATCAAAAACTTAACAATCTTTACAATCCCTAAAACTGATAATTACCATGTGCTCACTAGTGACTAGCTTCGTGAGAAAATTCTCGGAGTTCTGGTGAGAAGCCGTGACCAGTGGAGCTAATCCGTGTCGGGTAGAAACAGGTGTCTACCTCAGTACAATGGAAGATGGTCGTACAACCTCGTGGATTGGTTGAGGTTAGACATGAACACCATTGGATGCCGGCTCAGTGGTCCAGCAGGTTAAGCGTTCGCGCGCGAGACTGAAATCCCTGGATTCGAGTCCCGCCAGCGGGATCGTGGATGCGCACTGCTGAGTAGTCCCACAATATGACCAAACGGCCGTCCAGTGCTTCCAGGTTTTCAATGGTGGTCTAACAGCAATTAGTTCATGATCTCAATCAAAAACTTCACAATCTCCACAACCCCTAAAAACTGATAATAATAATAATAATAATAATAATAATAATAATAATAATAATAATAATAATAAAATGTTTGGGACATAAAATGAACATTAATCAAATTACGTCACCATATTATAAGGTTGATTATTAACTAGTTGGCCAGGCTACATATTTCTTTTGGATGCAAAGATTTGGCTTATTGATCTGAATAGCAACAACTAATTATGATCGTCCTGAGCACGCAAGATGATATGCCTATAACGACTACAGCACAGATCAGCAGTCAATGACTTAATATACGGATGCCAGTTTCTAACCTACTGAAATCGAAGCAGAACTCGATGATCGTACACGCCCCGACTAACTAGGATTATGACGAATCACACACTAGTAACTTTTCCCCGTATTTCGAAACAAATACTATCGTTTATTTAATAGCCCTACTACACACGAACCATGTTTCTAGGACATTTATTATTTCTACCCCCATGCGTGTACTTCATTTTCACTGATAAGATTCAATACCAATTACAACATACGAAAATTCCGATAAGTTATGTCTCTTTTCAAAAACCAGACAGAATTTCACTGCTCGAATAGAAAATAAGTGTTAGCTCAAAATTACTGGTGTGTAACAATATAACTGACTAACCGAAATTAGTAAACTACTCATCAAACATTTGGTAATGTTTTACTTGAATCCTCCCATTGATGTTTAGGACTGAAATTGATCATTCTCTTATGGGCATATGTGCATACTGTGCGTTGTTGTTTAGGATACTTTATTATGATGATAAAGGTATTTTCCTGTCAAAGTACCAGTCCTGTTTGACCAATGTTTTTAGTTTCTAGAAGTCGAATTTTAGTTCTCCATTTTTAGATTTACTTGGATACAAAATGTATGTTATTGGAGTTCCAGCACATTTAATCCTCGTCTTATAAGTGTTACGTCACTTAGTTCGCAGTATTTTTAGATCCACATTTTTGACCCGAAAGTCAACCATTTGTGACCGTAACCTTCGTCTCAACCTCACTATTGTGACACATATTGAAGTAGTTCTTATGTCTAAAGAAATTGATTTACATTTAGCATTTAATATCTATTTTTTGCTTATAACAAAATATCGTCTGTATACCAGATAGTTCTTACCAAACGGTAAATATCTTCAAAGTTACTTTTATATACTTTCAGTGTATTGAGCCCTGGATTCAAAATACTCCTAACTGTCCGGTGGACCGTAAACCGATTTCAAAAGGATCAATGCATCATGATTTTATTGTGGAAAATATAATAGGTGATTATATGGTAAGTCATTTTGTTACATTTGGTTCAAAGCATCATACGGTTTCTATTTCTGCTTCAATGTATTGTTTTGTTCCGTATTCCTGATGATTAGATTGTCTTTTCTTTCAGACTTGAAATGAAACCAGTGAGAAAGTTATCTGCTGTGGATTTAATTAAGACAGACAGCAAAATTCCATCAGAAACTAAACTAATTCATTGTTGATTCTCTAATTACATATCCGTATGTATACTTATTATATATGAGCAGGTTCATGTAGAGTGAATTTCTAACATGATGTCCATCGGTTAAAGCCCAGACATCTCAACCATTAAGCCTATTTAAAATTTTTCATATAACTACTTTGATTCATGCTTTAAATAAGTTCACAAAAATTGGAATATTCATGTAATTATATAAGAAAAACTACTGTAAAAATAGCTTTCAAAAAAATGTATATGAATCGTACAATTTTGTGCAAACGTGGGAAAACTTACAAGATTTGACCTATATATCAGACATTCTATTCTGCAGTTTGTAAATCATTTATTTATGCGTTGTTGATCGCTCATCAACCTTTTATCTCAGGAAAAGTAATCGTAATGTAACATGCAAACTTATTTAAAGTATCCAAATGACCTCAATGTCAGTATAACATACGTTACAGAAATCACTCGCCACCCTTCGAAATTTAGTATTTATTTAGCGCTTAATTTCATAAATTCCCTTGATACTTGTAAGTAGTATATATCTACCTCCACTGCCTCTCCTTTGTCCTTCATGCACTAGTAATTACTGGTTGAGTTTATCTCGCAGACTTTTCACCTTACACTAACGTTTCTCCTGTTCGAAACGCTTCTACGTGAGTTGAAAGAAGTCTAGATCCAGTAGGGTTTACTATTGATTAATAATTTTTATTTCTCATTTTTATGGTCGAAAATCCTTTTCATGTGCCACTAATTTTTCACCGACTATTTGATATACACTCTTAACATTTCCATCTTTGAATTAATCATAAAGTTCTGGTTTTCCTGTGTTATGTCACTTTTAGATCTATACATGCTTCCACTTAAGAATATTTGGGACTAAATTATGAGTTATCGGGGAATCATCTGTTAGATGGTTATTACTGTAGAATCTATTTAGATTCACTGTTAAGTTGGGGGCGGTCATCATCAGGTTAGAAAGTATTTCTACTTTTGTCTAAATTTTGGTACCTACTTGAAATAAATGATCATCAGAGTATGGTTATATCAAGCCGTCAATTACCGATTCCGCTGATTAGGATTAAGAAAGGACTGTTTTAGTATTTTCTGTTCGAATTAGTCTGGTTAATTGGGTCCATTTTAATCCTGCCTGAAACTTTCAGTTCCATTTAGTCAACGAATGATCGATTGTCCGTTGGGATTTTGTTCAGAAGTGGGATGATGAATATTTGCTATGTAGCCTGTGACAACTCAATAGATCAGTCCTACTAATCATGTTAGATCCTGCAAGTAATGAATTTTGTATCCTTTGAACGAGTTCCTGAGACGTATTCACAAATGCCAAGATTTTGGAGTTCTGGCTAGTGCGTCTGATTTAAAACAGCGCCTGAATATTAGAATCTCTGTATGTTATGGAAAATGACTTCAAAAGACTAGGGATGTCTTTCCATAAACATAAGTTGTTGGCGCGGTTTGTAAATTTGGAAAATGAAAAATAGTGACAGAAATATGAAAGTATCCAGGAATAAATAAAACAAATTGATAGTGAAGAGCATGAACGAACGAAACGCTAGAGGTTTATAAGCTGTCAATACTTCCCGGCTGATCATAGTAAGGGAAAATGTTTATTGATTGTAAACCCATAAAATTAATGCCGAACACTTAATATATTTGGAAGCCTAATCATTCAAGCTAAGAAACATCTGCAGTCGGCCGGCTACACGTTTATATATACTGACTTTGTTTTTAAATCTTGTACCAGCTCGGTTTGCTCGTGAGGAAAGAAAGGTTGTGTCATTTTTAAGTCTGAATTTCACTTATCCTTCCTTCCGTTTGTTTGATATCAGGATATCTCGAGATGTTGACTTTCTATGGGAAAGACGTTACTGCCACTACATCCCGATATGGTTAGCAGTGCGACTCCGTACTTTATCCTCAGACTAAATCCAACTATATTAGGATCTGCTATATTTTCGCCAACTAAATAGCCTAATGTTTGTGTCAATGAGCAGTTTTTGTTCTCAGTAAGTTGTTTATACTGTTTTAAATTGTCACAACGATAAACTTAAATCCAATACATTTGTTATGGATTCAGTGATAACAATATTTGTTTTTCATTTTACTATTCATTTTTGCAATACATTAATTTTCCATTTAGGTCGCATGTCCTTGGCGTGCACTCGGGTGTGATTTTATTGGCCAGTTATCCCTTTTACCCGGTCATAAGAAAACATGTGTCATGAATCCAAGTTCTATGCCTCCAGCTCTACGTGCTCATACCTCAGCTTCCTTAAATCAAGTTAATAGCAATCAATCTCTAGATCTGAAATCTTGTAAAAATAATCAACAGTCGTCAGTAAAAGTTAGTTTTGTGTTTCAGTCACAACTTCCTTTGAATACAATTACAACGGCAGAGGGAATTATTGATGGTAATCAATGTCCCAATATTCATAGTATTGAGTCAAGAAATGGCTCAAGTTCGTACGACGATGCTCATGAAGAAAGTCTTATACTTGTTAGTGATGATGAAGCTAATTTACCGCCTGCTCCACCACCCAGTCTTTTGTTCCGACTATACCATAATTCTGATTCTAATAGTCGTGGGTTATTATGTGATTTTATACAAAATGGTTCAAATACTACAACTCAGTCCTCTAGTACTAACAATAAAAACAAGAATAGCCCTAATAAACGAGGACGTAAAAAATAAACTTAAATTCAATACTGTTCCGGTTGATTTCTCAAAGCATTTCAAACTAGTGTTCAAACTTTTGCCTAATATGTACATTTGTAAACACAAATATCCGAAATGTTTTCTTTTAAATGTTGTTTAAAAAACATTAATTGTTGTATCAGAATGTGTATTCCATACTCATTCTTCCATTAAATTCAAGCATACCGGTGAATATTACGTTGGTCACGTCATGGCAACTCAGTCGAAATTCCGACATCGCTCAGTCTCTGGCAAAACTACTTACAAGCGATGCCAAAAAGGTGCATAATTACGCATTAGTTTTAGCGTGCTTTCCGCTATTTGTGAACATGGGTCCCCCAGTAGGTTAAACCGAGTGAACTGCTTTTGGGAATGTTTGGTGCGTGGTTTGCGAAGTCCGAAGAGGTAATCAGTTATCTTGTGATACCACATTACCTTTAGGTGGACATTTATTTTCTGTTTAAGTTCTAAGAATCTATCGTAAATCAGCCCAATAGGGTTAGTATTGATAAAATTTCATTCCACCGTTGTTTGCTTCTCTTGATGAACATTTTGTGGGCAGTCTTGATGTGCAATGTTAACTGCTAAAGTCAATACGTATGTACGCCGGATTCTAGGTATTACTTATATTATAATCAAAGATAAATGGTGGCTAGTAGCTGAATCCAGGAAACGCGTGTCCTCCAATTCGGGGCTCGTCAGCTGGATGAACCTTCTTCTCAGAGTTGATGTCCACTCAAGGACTGGAACTCAGTACCGTTCGCTTCAAACGTCATCGCGTTATCCACTTAGCTATTGAGTCCTAATAACCACTTGCTTATGCAATGGGGTGAAGTTTAAATTCACTTGGTATTGTTTGGATAGTGGTTAGTAGTGGAACAGTCGTTATGGATTCAATCTCTTTCCTCAACTGGCGATGTGTTTCTATTATCTTGCGTAGATAGTCGTTTTATGGTGGTGTTAATAGTTCTTCAAGTTTCAGCTCCGTGCATTTGATTTTTCTAACGTTGGTATTGAAGAGTCTAAATTGGGTAATAGTTCTTGAAAGTTCAAGATATTCTCATATTGTAGGTATAATGTCTTTGCTTTTCCAATTACTGCCTTCACATCTGCATCAGATTGTTTTCGTTTATCGATGATCATGCCCAAGAATAGTCCTTTCACCAGGTGTGATTTGGTTGGTGCTCACTGAGTTGTATCTCAGGGCCTTTCTTTTTCCGTTGATTGAAACTTACTACTGAAAAAACCTCTGCGATACTGACTGTACGTCTTGATACGTGTGCAGTAACAGGACGAATTCCGAATAATCCAGCTGTGCTTAAAGGATAATGTGTAGGTCATGAGTATACTCGCGACAAGTTACGAATGTTGATGTTAGTCAACAATTCCTAGTAAACCTTTTAATGGAGTTGTGAACGTATAATGAGACGACAGAATAATCTTTGTTACACACCCAGCCACCGAATTTATTAGCACATTATGCTCATCATTATGAATGGGGACTAAGTTAAGACATGGGATCGGTCTGTGCTACATGGGGGGACATAGACCTACTAGATAAGATGTACGGGACGGTCGTAATCAATTGTAAGGAAACTTAGTATGGCATGGTTGCGACTTATGACAGGCAGATATACATTCCTTACCTTTATTTACTTATTAAAAAGCATATGATTCATCTATTCTTTATTCCGATTCACACATATCATTGTTAGTTTATTACCACTCGTTTTTGCACTTGCCATTTTTAAGGCGCTTCGATTTGAGCAATATGCAAATATTACTAACACCTGCTTTATATTAATTGAGCACTGTTGAATCGCTTAGGGTGAAATTTTAAAATAATGTTTGGATTTATGACTGTGATCAACGTAATTAGCTATGTTTAACGCTCAAAAGCAATCAATAATTAAAAAATTATGACGTAACACTTGTTTAGCTTAAGGCTATTTATGTACGTCCACATTGAAGAGTGACTCTGTTCAGACAAAAATCATTACTTCGGATTATGTGATCTCGAATTAAATCGATTAATCTAAATGAATGTGATTTCATCACGCTCGGTCTTCATATATGATGTCATCTTCACGGAGGTTTTGCGCTAACAGATATTGTTATGCAGTTCAATCAACCTGGAAAGCATATCTGACCGCCTATTTAATTACATTGTACTTGCATTTTAATGAAACTGTTGGTGTGATATATAATAAGAAAAAATTATGTAAATATATACATTTATCAAAATAAATTCAATTTCTGACCTAACTGAAACGATCGATTTGGTTACAGAAGTATTACAACTAAAAAATAGAGTTGATTAACAGGTGGAAATAACATTTTGATCACTTTTATTTAATGAATAAATCATCCTCAAATACAGATACTGTAGTTATTTCACGACTTAAACGTCTTATTTATTGAACGAATGTAAGACAAGAGAGTAACAAAAAACTTTAAGTAATTTGAATAAATGAAGGTTTTCTCTGAATTCATAAATCAAATATTTCTGGAGCGTTTTATACATAAAGAAATAAACCAATAATTCAAGATGAAGATAATCATTCGTTCCTGCTTCTCCCGAAACTTGGGTTAAATAAAGTAGCATTTGAAGAAGGCAAATATGAAAAGATTAGCCCAATTAATCCTTGGTTGAATTTGATATTGTTAAACATTCAGATAAAGATGGACCTTTAGGGCCGTAAGGATCTTCAGGAAGAAGAAATGTGTTCCCTGACATTACGTATGGAAGTAGTCTGAAAAAGCAATGAATTAAAAGGAAAGATATGTGAAGGAAAAATGAATTACTAGCTAAGGGGACTACCTATGATCAATTTTTATTTTCACAGGTTGAACTGTATTAAAATGACAATACAGGAAATAAAAAATAAAACTTATACTTGTATGTTTCATAAAAACTTGCGTCGATTGTGCAATGCTTTGATGACATAAGCTGAGGAAGTATTGGTAAACAGAAGGAAACAATGAGGACAACAGCAAAGCGTTAGATTTCCGAAAATAAAAAAATGAATTGTGAGTAAGAAGAAAACGTCAGTTTCCTTAGGAAAGCACAACTGCTGATTCGAATGAAAGCTATCGCAGAGGTCAATAATATTGAAGGCTCGATACAGCCAGTTTAGACGTAGAATTTGGACGTATGTACATTAGTCCAAGTTGCCATACCCCATTAACATAGTGATAAAATTGTCAGGCCAAATCCCAGAATAGTAGAGGTAGTAACATTACCAGTGGGAATAGGAAAGACTAGGCATCGAAGATACAATTCAGAAAGAAAATATAAACTACTGAGAAAAAACAGAAGTTTTGGGGGAAAGACACCAAATGGATGCAACTGCGCCATTGCAAACGATTTTGAGCCACATCACTCGAAGTCTCTAACCATTAAATACGATAATTACGCATACTAGATAGTCTATAACTATTAATATATCCAAGTCCAATTGTTAGTGACTTTATGGACTGATGTCATGTTTTAGTTCGGCTACCCTTAGCTTTCTTTCAGCCTACTCCTACACCAGAAAGCATTGCCCGTCAAGGTAGGTGGTGGATGGACATAGGTAACTTATGTCCCAATCACCTCAGTTGATGAAGATTTAATACCTCTTGAATCGACTTGCCACCCTTGCCCTGCGCTCTATTCCTAACCCAGACACAAATACTAGTATCCTTCGAATATCCTTTACTCTTAATAGCCGTGTTCCGCACCCATAAAGTGGAAGAGAACGAATCGTTGAGCAGTAAACTCGCCCTTTGGTTAAAAGATGGATATCTCGCTTACGCCACAGGTGACGCAAGTTAGCGAAAGTCGATAAAGCTTTTCGAATCAGTCCAGAGATTTCGTCAGACCTCAGGACAAACGAAACACCCAAGATAAGTTAAGTAGTCGATGCGTTCAACTACTACACTCACCATCATTAGTTCAGCCCATGACGCAAGCCAATCCTGAAGTGACATTCTACGTTTGCAGGGAGAGAACCGCATCCCAAACATGTTTAGATTGTTACTTAAGGTGGTTGGAGGATTGTATTTTGTCTGTGTCTTCACCAAGCAAAACAATATCAGCTGGGTATTGTAAGTCAACAAGTGAATCTCCTCGCGATTAACGGAGTTGAGTGCTGCCTTACGGTCAAGGGATACACCTACAGTTGGACGTCGAAAAGTATGTCTATGTTTCAGAATATGACGGGTGGTGAATACTTGGTGTATACATTAAAGTCCAGATCTGAAACCAGACCAGTTTACTCGGGTTCGCTCCTCACGAGCTCTAGCTAGACGTCGAGATATCATTTTAGACACTATAAGCTAAACTGATTCCTCTGTGATTATCACATGAGGATTTCTGCTCTTTCTGGTGAACTGGGACGATCAACGATCGCGACCGCTCATGTGGACCGAATCCAGTTTCCAGATTTCAGTTAGTCTAACTGCTAAATCTAGACACTATCCTTAAAATTATCAAGGGTTAATCCATCAGTTTGATGGAGAATGTTGGTCGGCGGTCTATGCTCCTCTACGAGGGGTAACAGGAGTAGGTGAGTAATCCACCACACCCTGTTGATTTCCCTTGAATATATTATCTACAGCCTTGCATCAGTAAACAAATTTAATGAAGCGATTTGTAAGACGACTTTGAAACATAATTACATAGCCTTTTGTCATAAGAGTATAAACCATATACCATTACACCAAGCTCACCGTAGTTTTGATTTCGATTACAAGCTTCAAGATATTACTGTTGATTAGTAACGTTACTCAACTTTTCAAACGAACATTGTATGATTTATTATACACCATTTAAAATGCAACAAGCGAATGTCGCGCACATTTGAAGTAAATCACTTTTTCTATCTTTTTGTTATAAGTAAACGAAGTGTAGTGCACGGAGTTCAAATATTCGAATATTTTTAACAGGTCATTCCACCTGCAACGGAAGTTTTTAACTTCGAACGAAACTTTTCTTGAAAAAAACTCAGTAAATCGTCCAGCATCTCGTACACTTTGGAAAATCTAAATAAATCTCGAATAACAAAAATCGAGGTATTTTCTAAAATTTTAATTGATCATGAATGCAAAGGGAA